CATCACTGAAACTAAGTTTGTAAGTCTAATAAAAAATAATAGTGAGCAACATATACATACAGTACATGTAGTATGTGTGTTGCTCACTATTATTTTTTATTAGACTTACAAACTTGTTAGTTTCAGTGATGCCATATTGTTCTTTCATTTGGCCGGAATAGCAAGCTGCTTTCGATCTGTACACGTAAGCCATTTAATTTGTATATTACACAAATGTTTCCGTGAACTGACAGTTTTTAGGTTAGAAAGGTGCAAAAGTGCAGAATCACTCCAGCATCCCCTTACAAAATGTACAGATTTATATACAAATATGAAAATATATCAACTGCAGTATACGTGCTATTTCAGACGTAGTCGTGTAACTACAGTGAGAACAAAAGGGTTAATCACCTTTCGTCATAGAGTGAGAGAAATATTTCAATATTCTAACAATATTCTAACGTTCAACTTCTAACGAAGAATGTCGGTAAAACAGACGGCTTTAGGATCCCCTTAACAGCATTTGCAGCAAAAGTAATATAAAGGAAAAGTCCTTAGACGTTTTCAAAATATCAAAGTGCTTTATTACTCATCCACTTGTTATGTAATATGTGCAAGGATATTTAAAAAAAGTAGTACAGAGTTACATACAAATATGAAGATATATGAACTGCAGTATATGTGCTATTTGAGACGTAGTCGTGTGGCTACAGTGAAAACAAAAGGGTTAACCACCTTTCGTCTCAGAATGAGAGAAATATTTCAATCCAAAGTATATTTTTAGAGCAAAAATCAATGAGGCTCCGGGCATTACGAGTAACAGGAAAATAATTACCGAGCGCGTTAAGTGAACAGAGAAGTTTCCTTCTCACAAATTGTCACAAGTTATCGTTATCATTTTAGAAATATTATTTTATATCGCAAATCGCGACGATGAAAATTGCATGAAGCCAAGCGACAAGTTGAAAAAGAATAGCACATTTCTCATGCAATCTCTCGTGAAATAATTGCGCCGGGTAGTTAAATTGACTCCACACCGTAATGGAATAAATATCGCGGAAATACGCGCGCTCGCTGAAAGCGGGGGATCATTTGCACGTCTCGTGCTTCATTTTTCAGCCGAGTCATACGGCCCGATTACTCTGGAATATCTAAATTACGCCGCCGCACTCGGCGTCTACTCGGTGAGGTACCCCGCCGTCTTCTGGTCGTGCAACAAAGCACTGGGTACGATTTTCAGTCTGCAGCTGGTCGTAAATTCAGCGCAAAGTCTGCTGGCTTACGCTGGAATGTCCGTCCTTTACAAGGTAAGCAACACAAAGTATTCGATGCCAGTTAAAACTCACGGAAAACTTCGGTAACGTCTCAGTCGATCCGCTCAGTCGGGACACTCTTGCGGATACAAGAAAACTTAATAAAAGCTAATAAAACGCTGAGGAATCTGAGAAACGTCGGAAATCCTTCAGGAATATATAAATGTAATAAAACGCGGCGCCTGTTTTACTAGAAAAACCTCAGAAATTTCCTTCCTATAAGTCGAAAGAGGAACTCTTTGAAAATTGAAGAAGAAAATGTTAAGCCATTACGAAAAATTGCCAAAAATTTGAATGATCGCAAGTTTTGTAACTTACTTTTTGTTACGTTACTTAGAAGTATAATCCTTCAATACATCAAATATGTATCTCTACACGGAGAGAATTGTCTCTTAAAATTTATCCTGAAAATCGTGTGATCGTGGGGCAGCATGGCGTTTCGAAGGACTATTGAGTTCTTTTTTAAATTTTACCATACAAATTTACTAGTAAAAACACTCATAAAATCCTTCGAAATGCCTTGTGGTCCCACGATTACGTGATTTTCGGGATAAATTTTGAAGGAAAATTCACTCCGTGCACAAACAGTGGTTGCTTAGAGCCTCAGATCTCTGTTTCTCCGTGTATCTTATAACAGCGATAATTAAGTGTCCACGTATTTTTAGGTCCAGGTGGTAGGTGCCTTGAAGGTTTTGCCGCAACTTCGGCATCGCACCGTGCCGACAACCAGTACAATATCGACAATATTTGGGGACTCTTACTTTCTGCTAGATCCCCCTGTAACCCTCGTGCTCTTCGCCCTCTCGTCCTTCCTCGTGCTCTGCTCCAGCATGGTCATGTACTTCTACGCTCACGGCAGGTAAATATTCAGCGTGTTGCGCGCAGCGAGCTTATTCGGCCCTCGTACCTCGATTAAACTCCAGCTGAGATTACTCGCCGGGACTTTCCCTCGCGAAGAAAATTATCTGGCCCGTCCGCCGTTATCAGATAAGGGTATAAAACAAAACGGGTTTGCTCTTTAGATTTAAAGCGAGAATCATCGTGCGAGCGTGCTAGATCGGGCGTGTGTGTCCATTAATTTTTCTCGCGAGACATCTCCGCTTTAAAACACGCGAGAACAATTATTTTTGTTTATGTTTGTACGCTCCTAATAATGTAACTCTCCTTCGTTAAACGCAACGGTGTTTCTCTAGCGGAATTCGACGATTCCGTAATTTTTATTTTCCATTTATCCGGATTTTATCTGACTTGCTAATTCGCTAATTTGAAACGGCACTTGCACGCGTAAGACTTGTAAGCGTGCTACCCGATACTGTTATTATTCAGAATGAAAGTCAATGGCTTCCTCAAACAGTCCAATCGTCCTTTCTCGGCTTTCCGCAGCGTCCAACAAAGGATAACAATTAACAATCTCGCTCACACCGTAGCGTATTTTTTCCCGGCTTTAAAAGAATCTTTCAAAGAAATAATATGTTGGTGGAGTTGCGACAGTTAAACTTTACTTAATTAATTTTTTTAATAGAAAAATAACCGCACTAAGACAAAGAAATAGAAGATGTCGTTTCTACTATAAATGTGTAAGTGGGTAACGGAATAGATTCAGTACGAAATCGGATAATTCACCTCAGTATTCGAGAAAAGCAACATTTATACAACTGAATGTTATTTACAGCGTTACATATTGTCACATAGACATACAATAATCACTGAAAATCGAGCTTGAAATCGAAACTTGTTTCTTTCCGATGTAAATTTTATTAGAGATATCAAGTCACGGATAATTCGAGATATCAAGTCACTGAAACTAATTGAAAGACGTACCATATATGTATAGAACTACATTATACGTACGTAGCTTAAAATAGGTAGAATACGTGCGCCACGACTCGTGGCGAGTTTGAATTTAACGTGTCAACTTACCCCACTCTGTTTGTGTCAACACACCCCAAAGTTCTTTCGGATCATATATGGTACATAAAATACGATGTAAACAATGTCACTAAAAAGTTCATTAAAATGTTGTCAACTAAATATATTTTCGAACTGATAGCAATTAACATAAAATTATTCTACGTTTATCAATAATATAAAGAAATTTAGGAGATTGTGATAATCTACTTAAATAGTTAAGAATGCAACTTAACGTCATTATTTCATAACTGTTGTTCATAATAAAATGCAACTTACGTCATATGTGTTGAAGATGGTTTTGCACTCCCCGCTTGCTTGATTCTGCAATTTTTAAAAAAATAGTCAAAATATAAGCAATGCGTTATCTTACTGTGGCCAACTTGCCCCGGTCTCTCCCACTTATAGCTGCAAATCAGTGACTATTCGGTGTTTTCGGTGGTAACCTGTTGATTGACTTTTAGAGAGCGAGATTTTCGAGAAGTACACGGAGAGAATTTACCTTGGAAATCATGGAATCATGGAATCATTTTGACGAGACTTTATGAGAGTCTTTTTAAATTCTACCACAGACTCTACTAGCAACATAAATAAATAAATCTTTATTGACGGGGATAACCCTTTAGTAAACAAAAAGAGAACAGAATCATCTCGTTGAATTAAAATAAAATTTAAAAAGAACAACATAGTAAATCAGTAAATTAACACAGTAAATTATTTGTGGAGTCTTAACATATACGAATCTGTGATTAAAATAAGGTTATAAAAATTACATTATAAAATTTTTTATGTGAGTCGATGGAGAAGCTCGCACTTAAATGTAGACAGATTGTTGCCGAAAAAGTCGATAGAGTAAGAATAATGGTTCGCGGAAATCACCAGCCTGGAGATACATGAATTTATTCCATATTCAGTTCTATGAGGCTCAGCATGGAAAATGGTGTACTGCCTCAGGTTCCTTAGTGGAATTTAAATCCTACTAAATTTAATTAATAAATCTGGACAGTCGATAAGATGATTAATTAACATGTATACCAAGTTCAATTACTAGTAAAATGTATGGTAAAATTAAAAAAAATCTCATACAATTCTTCGCAATACCACGTCGTCCCATTACATAAATTCAGGATAAATTTGAAGAAAAGATTGTCTCCTTGTACAAATGGCTCGTCCGCGTTTTCCCCATTTTCTCTCCCTCGATTGTAGACAGCGATGTTATGATGTGCAGGTTCACGGCGTTCTTGAACCAGGAACGCGAGCGCCGCGTGATCCTGTCGAAGGACGGCCGCGAGGGCAACGGCTGGGTCTACCTGCCGCATTGCGCCGCGTTCGTCGTCTTCCTGGCGATCCTGATCTGCGGCGCGCCGCTGCTCTACGACTACACGGTGGTGTACCGCGGCAGCCTCGACGGCGCCATCCTCGCCTGCATCGTCGGCATGATCCTGCACCTGCTCCTCTGGCTGCTCCTCTGGATATTCCTCAGCATCAAGCAACGCTGGACGTTCAAGCTGCGCGTCACCATCGGCCGCGCGACCGTGCGGTCTGCGAGGTCGGTCAAGCTCGTGACCGACGTCGACCTGCTATCGGCGAGGGATGACGACGACGGCACCAACGCGCCCCTGCTCGTCGTCGGTAACGGCCGGACTTACACCATCGCCGACACCTCGCCGAAGAGGGCCATCATGAGCGTGATACAGAAGGCCGCGATGGAGAGGAAGGCCCGATCGCAAGGTAATGGAAAGTGCACCGGCTGGAGAACGCCCGCCGGAATCCGGCAAATCGGATTCCCGTTTCTTACCGGACACACTCTACGTCAGCTCTCCTTTCTCGGCGCGCCACTGGATAAATGACATTTTTGAAAGATTGAGTTGCTTTGTATCCGATTATACTCTCCGTGCGGCGTAACAGCATTTTTCTTAAGGGCGAGTCGTTTCTTCTTTTTTTCCTCTCTCTCTCTTTCGCATAAAGCGGAAAAGACGGAGTGGATACGAATCGTCGGGTATGAAATAGAATGAGCCACGGGGGCGAGGGGGGCAGACTTGAAGCTCTGATCGATGAAAGTACGCGCGGTTAATGCCTGAAAGCGATTTATCCCTTTCCGCACCCGTTACAGGCGGAAACGTCGACGGGGTCGACGGCGAATCGACGGCCGACGGTGACGAGCAGATCTACTGGCTTAGGCCGAAATTACGTCCCTCGCCTGCGCAGTCCCCGAGCGACGCCGGCGGTGCACCGACGTCCGACAAGGGTTGGCTGAACAAGAAGCTCAAGCATAAGGTCACCTTTAACGACCTGCCTAGTACGTCAGGCTCGCGGTAACTACCCTCCTCCCTCCTCTTGGTGTCTTTGTGTATCTGTTTCTGCGCTTGCACCACTCGGCCACCACGTTACACTTGTAATACAAGCAGCACTTTATCCACCGTCCCGTTTCAAGTATTAAATACGAAACGTCTTTCACGTGGTACAATTAGATTGCGGTAGCGCTTATCTTCTTCTCCCCTTCGTATCTCCGTAAGATGAAAAAATATCGCCCGGAGGAGAACAACGTGTACAGTGATGGGCAGAATAGAAGAGTAAATTCCCGCAGACGTTTATGAGATTGAATGAAGGGTGAAGTGTACAGAATTAAAGTACATACGCAAGACATTCAAGTAGCTCTATCTCGGAAACAGTGGGGAACGGGACATATATTTATATGAACATTTTTGCTTAGAATGTCCGACACTATCGCCTCCCAGAATATTGACTTTTCTTCCCGGGACACCCTGTATATGCACTTGTATATTGGCAAGCTTGGTCTTCCGGTAAAGCACGATGCATTGGAACTCTGTTGAATCCTATTGAGGATATTCCGCCTCCTTATCCTTGCAATTTGCTACGTACACAACGTTCACCTTAAATATGATTCACGTTGCGCTCTCGCATCCCCCCACCTGCCGCTTCTGCCATCTGTTATTGTTATCAATGTTCAAATGCCTTGAATTGAAACATCTCGGATATTTCTTCTTGCTACTGAAAATAGTATCTTGTCGTCGTTTAGACGCGCTCTCGAGGATAAAGCTTTCAAGAATTTTCTCGTACACTTCACCTCCGCGTCTATCTCTGTATGTATACCCATATCTATTCCGCTTGATATACTTTATCCGCAGCACTCGCTCTGTCACTGTTTCTCCATCCTTCTTGAATCTCTTCGGCAATCGTTGTACGCACGAAAACACAGGGCGCCCCTTTGACTGTCACATTTGACTTCCAGTAATAAGGGAAAAGCCAGACGAGGCGTCGCTGACGGCGGGCCTGACGATGACGGAGATTACGCCACGCTACGCGAATTACCGTTAATCACGTCGCTGGACCCCGCCGACGATTCTACCTCTGAAGAAAACAAGGTAAACTATATGTATACTTCGATAAATTGTCGTGAAAAGAAGAAATGATTTCTTTTCCCCCGCGCGGAACGTAACGCGATACTTTTAATTTTGAGAACGTCCGACATTTATTTTGCTGTACATACGATTTATTTTGGTGAAACGGTTGATCTTCTTTTCAAGAATTGATTATAGTCTATTTGACTGCACCGAATACGCTTTCGTCGCACCCGCCGCCACTTTTAACTTAGAGCTTTTCTTTACTTCCGACAGTGGCAAAGATGGCCGGTAAATCGTAGGGACGGTATACCTAAGTTCAGGAATGTAAGATATGCACAAAATTATTTCTGTACCTTCACCTAACATCAATTAACTACGTGTGCCTCTTTCCATTGACTAATGTTGTAACATAAATATAATTATATATGTGGAACTTATTAGGATAAATGAGCAATAAGCGCATGACTTTAATATTTTTATTTAATAACTGTAATATTATTAATTATTATAGAATAATGCGTATGTGATAACTCTATGAAGTAGCTTATATGAGTGATAGACATGTAACAAAAGTATTCGAATCTGAAATAAATAAGAGAGGGAGATAACTTTGATGTACCTGCAATTGCATTATTTTGTATTTTCGTCTTTTAACACGTCTCTTATTAACATAGGCGTCTTAAATTAATCTGTGCCAATGTATGTAAAATAACAAACGTGTTTTTCTAATTATAACTATACATATATATATATTATATATGTATGTATCGCGAGTCGTTCGCAGCTTAACAATTAGACGTAAAGCCTGGCTATCTTGTGTCGCAGCTTCAGTTTATTTATGTGGATTACAAATGATTTTCTCTCGTCCATTGATTATTCTTACATTCCACAATAATATTCTACTCGCTACGCATGAAGCTAAAACGCCACCTCCAGAATACTAACGGTGCCGCCTTTTGACAGTTGCTCGAGTGCGTGAACGACGATCAAGTGACTTATTACGCGAGTGCGAGTCGCGACCTACAACCGTCGGAGGGTGACCCTTCGCCCCTTCTCACCCCCGATCCTCTACCCGATCCCGCGGAGGAGCCGCTTCCACTGCCACCCCCGACTCCAACCTCCGCGCCAACCACCGATATTGTCACGGCGCCACTAACTACGAATGCCCAGGTACTAACAACCCTAACTGCGCATTGTCTGGTCCACGTAGACGAGGAGACGGTCGTTGCACCGACGGTGAGAAACTTGTACTCGGCTCGACTGAGATGAATCAACTAAAAGTCAATTCGACGCCGGTTAACGAGGCCTTTTTCTACACTCAGAAAAAGGAATTACTGCAATAGTCAGTTTTTATTGGCTGCGTAAAAGTTTTCTGCTGCAACCATTTAATTTTTGAAGCTGTAAATGGCAATGTGAATCTATGATTTCAGATAGACCAATACAACCAACTTTTAAAGCTAGTAATTGGCTGCATTAGGCAATTTCTTAGCTGTGGTAGCGTTACCAAGTAGGTTAGATAAGACAGTTGGCCGGGCTAGCCAACTCAAGTCCACAAACTATCAACACGGAAAAAAATTGTAATATATGGATACCTCAAAATATTGCTAGCCACTTCTTTCATTGAAGGAAACAAAAGTGGCTAATGTATACAGCAATATTTTTAGATGCTCATATATTATAACTATTTTTTCCGTATAGATAGTTTACACTTTAGGATAAGACGGTACTAACAATATGCACAGGATGGTCACCGTGCAGGAGTCAGTTGACTAGAACAACCAACTAATAGCCCATTGTACGGGAATGTTTGGTTGGAGTAGCCAATTTACAACCGCTGTAAAGTAAGCAGTTGGTTGGAACAGCAAAGTCATGTGTTAACTCCAGCCAAGTTTATAACAGCTTAAAAAATTGGCTGCTGCAACCAACTGAAATGCTATGCCATGTTTGACCATTTAAATTGGCTGACGCAGCCAGTTCTAGGCTACAGCAGCCGATCTTTTTTTTTTTTTTTGAGTGTACTTCTCCTGATAAACCGTAGCCAGAGTGCTCTTGTAGAATAACGCAACGACAGTCTCACTCATCGTTTGGCTAATCCAGCTAGCGAGCTGACGTTACTTGTCGTCGCTTGGACATGAAAATGACAAGTAACGACCATCAGCTTGTTACCTGGATGTATTTAAGATTTGGCACGCAACTCTACACGATTCCTGTATCCCGAGTAGCCAGAAAGACGGGGAGACGCAGTTGATTAAAGAAGACTACATGTAGTTAACTTGAACGTGTCTTTGTGCATCGTCCTTCCCTGTGACAGTCCGCGTTCCCGTCGCTTTCGCAGCCGTAGCTGGCAGAAGCGCAATCGTAACTCAGCGACGGAACTTTTCAGATGAACGGCGGGCAGACGCCGCGGTGCCTGCGCCGCGCGGACTCGGGGATGCCGCACGACGAGCTGACGCCACGCTCCGACTCGTCCAACTCGCCGCCCCTGGACGCGGTGGGCAGCGGCGGCGGCGGCGGCGCCGGCTCGGTGACCGGCCACAGCAACACCAGCAGCAACAGCGAGACGTCGAGCGGCGTGCACAGTAACGCGAGCAACACCAGCAACGCCAGTCACAGCAGCTCCCAGCGTCGGGCCACCAGCGTGGACGACCTGACCGGGGAGCCGCGCGAGGAGCCGCGCGAGCAGTGGCGCAGCTGCTCCCTTCAGCGCGGCACGCAGCCACCGACGGCGAGCACGGCCTTCTCGCCGCCCAGCAGTCGCCCCGGCACCAGCCAGTCCTTCTCCTCGCCGCAGTACGTGAACCACGTGCCGCCGTACAGCAATGCCACCGGCAACGAGATCGGCGCCGGCTGCCCGGCGGTCATTCTGGAGAACCCGAACGAGGCGACGGTCGTGATCCGCCGCAAGCTCTCGAGAACGAAGCTGACGGACCCGCTGAATCCGAACGAGGAGCCGTTCGGCCGGTCCACCAACATGAGGATGACCTCCTTCACCGAGAGCAACGACATCCGCATACAAGCCTCCTCGGCGACTCTGCCGCACTACCCCACGCAGCCTATCGTCACCTACCCTCACTGCTCGACGATGCCGCTGCCGCACGCCTCGCACACCGTGGCCGCGGCGAACATGAGCGGCGGCTCCACCGGCAGCTGCGGATCCGTGCCGCGGCATACTTTCGTGCCGCCCCAGGTCCACACCACCGTGCCGGCGCACACGACGCTGCCCTCGCATCACAACGGCGTCAGGCTGCTCCACGCCACCGCCGTCGGCCCGTCCGGCAACCCTTTCGTCAAGAGGTTCCCACCGGTGCAGCTGCACACCCAGTCCTGGGCCCTGCCAGGCCACCACACCTTCCCGCAGATGCCGCAGGGTGGCAACAAGCTCACGACCACCGCGCAGATCAGACAGAGCGACCGGGACTCCGCCAACTTCTCCATGGCCAGCAGCGGGGACTCCGACACGTGTTTACCGCACTAAAACGCCCGCGGACTGGTAATCGTAATTCGAATCGCGTTTAGGTATTTTCGTAATGACACTTTCGTGATGACAAGTGACATCGGAGGGGATCGCGGTTTCCAGGCAAGCGTACCGATGTCACGATCATGATCTCCCCAAATGCTTATTCTGATGAAGTAATGAGAGTGATAGCAATGTAATAGGCAGAGAGAGAGAGAGAAAGAGAGAGAGAGAGAGAGACTTTTTGCGCGAACTCGAGACTAGTTGCGAATATTTTGCTTTGGAATCGATAAACCTCTAGGGCTGACGTGAAATTGTAATACGCATTTATAATAGTGTGCCGCATTATGCTCGACATGGACCATTAGGGAAGGAAGCTTTCTGCATATTTCATATCGCATGCTCAAACGCCGAAATTTTAAGGAAAAGGAGTCTAATTAAGGTTGAAACGACATATCAATTTCTGCCGTTTATTAACGTACGATAAGCACATGGCATTCCTTAAAATACGGGTTTCCTCTATTTTTTTACAATCTGACCTCGACACTCGACGCGTCGGTCAGATCTTACCCGGTTATTTATGTAAGCGCGTCTATGATATTGACGTAGTGTTTATTGCATAAATTCCGTGTACGTGGAAAATATTCTATTCATTTGAATAAGTAATGCGCATCGACGTAGAAACAAAAAAGCAGGTTGAGTATAAATGATTAATATATATTCCACAAATAGCTTACGGGGGCGATTAAAATAATTACAATTAAAAGACATCAATTCCGTTATATACATATCCTGTACGTTGTGACGCGTGTCCCATTTTATCTTTAATCTCGCAGCAATAAAAAGAGATATCTGAAAAGGATAGTGATATAAACGGTGAAACGACTCACAATCGGTTAAGGAATCTTCATCCTGGTTAATGCGAAACAGTTTTAAATCGTGCAACAATAAGAAATTATTGCAAAATGTATACATAGATTACAATTTAAAGGAAAGTAAGGCGGATTGCAATTACAACTACGTATAAGTAATAATAGATCTCTTCTCTCTCGAGTTTGCGCGAACGTCTCTCGACGCGTGCTTGTAGCTAGAATCATCTTTTCCATGTTCTTCTGTTGTGAGACGTGAAATGTTGGGGGGGGGTGGAAAAATCGGCGAGCGGAAAAGAGCGACTTGCGACGTTTGATGGCCGAGAGGAAACGGCAGGCGAGAGTGAGAGTAACATAGTTATCCCATTTTAGGTACGGAAAAAGTTATTGTGTTGTCTTAAATAAAGTTCGTGTATAGAATGAATTAAGGATAGCCAGTTAAGAAAAGAAGAAAATGTGGAAAAACTCGGGTCGCCCATTCGTACAGCGTACGGCTTTTCTATTGACATTCAAGATCTTCTTTCCACCGATGACTGTAAATTTTGTTAAAAACGTAATTTGTACATTGCCAATTGTTTGTTTATACGCGACTCCCGCGATGCAGTCGCTCGTATGCGATAGGGCGAATAGAAGAGAGGCATTCCCTCGCATTGGAATGTATATTTAAATCACGCGCGATATACGTTTCTTCGTTCTTCGTTTGCTTCGAGTCTTTCTTTCTTTTGTTTCTTCTTTTATAGATTTATCGAATTCATCGTCAAGAATAAATGTTTGTTTGTCGAATCTTCTATGAGCTCTGTGTTAAATATTAGAAATTATGTGCGAGATAAATATGCGGGCGGTTTTATATGACTGTAAAATATACAAGCGCAGATTGTAATCATACGATTTTCGGCCTTGGTAAGATTTCCGGTGTATACTACGAATATGCCGTTACGTTAAATCTTCTTATGGCCTGATAACGATATATCATAATCAGCCATTTCGATCGTAAGACTTGCGATATTAGCAGTGCCATCGAAAGTAATGTAAGCAGACACAATCAGAAAAGGAACAAGGAAGGAACTGTTTCATTATTCATAAAATTAAAAACCCACGAGTAAGAGCTAAAGATTTACCGCGAAAATAGTACATGCCACTTATTTATTTGCGAATGGCTCAGCACCCCGTTACAGTCTAATATTCTTTATATAATACCTTTAGTTAGAGGAGCCGCATGAAGTATGCACATTTCATTTTATATTGCTTCTCTCTGGGAGAGAAAAATATAAAATAAGTTTGTCCACCTGATTTCTATCAACTTACAGTTATTTATAGTAATACAACGAGCGTATTTATATTTAATGCAATATATATATATATGTATCCAAATAAATCGTTGGCGCGCTGTAAGAGGAGAAAGACAAGCGCAATTTATGACAAGTGAGTTAAGAAATGATTACTGCCACTCGATCGTGAGAGATAACCGATCTCGATTACATTTCCTTTCGTCGACTGCCATGTTATTTCGTCCTTTCGTCAATATAAGTAATCATCGTACTCGTTTACTTGTACCTAGGCATTTACTTGCGGATGTGCTATCGGTACATGCGTACATATACATATATATATACATATATATAAAGCATACGTTCTCGCTAAGTTGCGTTCTTTCGCGACTATATATCATTCTATGAGACGCGTGACGTGGTAGAGACCGGTCTCGCAAAGATGCATCCTCAAGTCTTTCTCGCAATTTAATGCAGTAAACATCGCCACATAATGTGACGCAATGTTCGTTTCGCCTCCTTCCTATGCTTCTCGACAAATCTTCCGGAAGTCAATGTTACAAATCAGTACACGTCCGCCCGACGATATGCCCAATATTAGAGACCGTGTTACATCCTGTGGATGACAAGTGCATATCGTTGATTTGTAATTTTTTTCGCAACAATGTAATTAAATTTGTTTTCGAATTGAAACGAATTTAATTGCATGTATAAGCCAATGAATTGGCTGTCCGTTAGATTGCGACAGGCTAACAATAAGAAGGAATATTTGAGATTCTAACGTGAGAGTTCAGACAAATGGAGTCACATCGCTTCAATTAAGATTTATAAATTAATTAAATTTAGTGTGTAATTTATAAAAATGAAAAATATCAGTAAAGAAATCCCATGATTTGCAATTTATGTCAATTAATATAATCTTTTTAAATTTATTATTATTATAATGTATAATTACGTATCTATTATTATTATTATTATTGTCATCGTCAAATGTTTTATAATATATTATCAATTTTCTATAAAATTGTACGTATCATTTCTCGAGGAAGATGAAAATGAAGTGAAATATTGCACTTAGTTGTGTGCGTGTGATGAGCGTAAAAACATTTTTGTAATCACCGATACGAAAATACGGGCGCAATGATGAACAAGTAGTATTATGATTGTATACCAGTGTGACATGTGACTGCGGTTGGAAAAATTTTTACGCATTCCGTAAAGATAATAACTACAACAATAAAAGGAAAGTGCGAGAGCGTTCTTGCACGGCATTGTTCGGAACTCATACTTTTCAGTGAGACAATGCGATATAAAGGAAAAAACCAGATATCTGTATTTTTCAATATCTTCCAGTATTAGAAGTAGCGGTGTTCTCTCAGCCTTGTTCATAGAATATTTCTGTTACGAGTTGTTATATGAGCAAAGGTGACTAAGTAACTCATGAAATCGTGGGAGATTTACTCTGGAAAATTTTGCGCTTTTCATTTACCCAAGGTATTACGCCTGGAAATGTGATGAGTAATCCAAGTGCAAATCTAATGGGTTGTAATGATTGATCTTGGTACTAGATGTATTATAACAAGGAGACATTTCATCCTGCAACAATACAATTAGCGGCATTTATTCAAATATATCCGTGATTCACGTGAGCCTGCAGCTATTCACGAGATAGATCGGTTTGTAGTACAGACTTAAACTTTGGGTTCCGATTCTTTGTGAATCGTGAATAACATATTGTCTTGTAAGCTGTGGAAAGCACCTATCAAAGCACACGAGATCGACCAATTGATCACGAACGGCAAGTCCGTCACTTTTATACGACTTATCGAGCGCTTTGTCATTGCCGATCGTACATATCATCTCGCAAGGACCATGCATTTTCGCGAAGACATTTACGAGGATACTCAAGCAATAGCACGAAGCATCGATCAAGGGCTGGACCAGACTTCTTAATGATCAATGAGCTCTAATAGTACCCAATGTAGCGCGAACATATTTTTTAATGGCTATTTTCAATACGCTAGTAAGACGAGGAAGTAAGATGGAGGGATTTTCATAGAGGGAGAAAGGGAAGAAACTTGGGATCTAAATTTCGAAACGTTTATTCTGTCTCTCCTGTTCGTAGTCCTGTATAGTCCAACAACGCTACCCTTGATTCTGTTTCGAAGTAGGTACTTAACGCTAGGATCACGTATTTTTCCCAAATGCAAATGCTCTGGCATTACACTTTCTTCCACGCATTCGCGCGCACGCGCGCGTGCGCTATCGAGAAATCTTCGTTGCAACGTTTGCTCTAATTCATTCAAGAATATAAATACAAACTTTAAATTTATAAGGACACACGGCCTTTTGTTGAATCAATACGTTGTTGTACTTGACATTGCGACATTAATTTCTTTTCAATTATTGTTTTTAATTTCTTATAAGATAAATTCTTACAAATTGTTTGCCCGAAAGAAATCAAGTCGCGTACTTTATTCATTATATATTTTCAAGAACGATAATGGATTAACTCCCTTGCGAGTAACATTCGCAATTTATCAGGCATTCAACGGAGATTTCCGACAGCGTTAGCTCGTGTATGTACAATCGATACATTATTGATCGCGCCGTTGCAACCGCCACCGATACAATTTTTAAAAAATGCACACAGCAACGGTAGTAGCACGAAGAAAAAGAACCTATCTTTTGATAATTGCACGGCGGATATTGCTGCGGCGTAATCGCGACGACCATCATAGAAAATAGTTAATCGTCAACGATGAGGCACGCATCTTGATTAAATCATCTATCAAGACACACGGCGCTCTAAATTCCGTTCTACTGTGCAGCGTGTAGAATCTGTTACAAAAACGTACGTTCTGAAATTAAATTTTTCCGTTTATGTGCATTCACTTGTCTGGAATAAAATAGAGAAGCGTTTCTGAATTCACGAAAAGAGATTCGACGAAGGAAGTGACGCGAAATCACTTTTGTACCATTTCCATTCCTTCCGGTCTCCTTTAAAGAGAGAAGAATCCACGCCCTATTATTTTACTCGCGTCCACAAAATTTTCTCGCGCGTACGTGCGTACCCTTCACGCCCTTATCCGTAGATCTTTTGCAAGGATGCCTGCCCCGTTCTCGACGATAATTCTGCTTCGTTATACTTGCGTGCGATTGAAATCAGATAATAGTCGACGTAGATGTGCGCGAGAAACAAACGCGGCGGACGAGATACCGAAAGCTGCCTCTCGCAGAAATATTTTTTTACCGTCTAGCGTCAGCGACCGTACTCTAATTCGTTTTAGATCCGGCTAGAACCTAGACGTAGGTGTGACCGTAATGCAGTCGAGGGAGGCTCCGCACCGGAGGCGTTTCGGCAGCAAGGAGCGCGGGATCTCTATTGCCGTGTGACACGCAGCCCTGAATCGCTCGTACCCCGACCCGTTAGCGAACGTACATGCGATATTGTGCAGATAGATTACAATTTGATCGACAGCAAAATCGGGTCCTTGTATTCTCACTCGTAAATCATGTTTCAATGCTTTTAATCGACATTCTCTCAACTTTACACGGACTTCCATTCATTCAGGAGAAAAGATACAAAATCAAAGAACGAGATAAGCAATTTAATTAAAAAACCACATGGAGCCCGTCTAAACAGTTTTGCTATTTTACGTAACACTGGAGAGTCGTGCGCGTGGTCGAGGTAACGAAGTAGATGACACCAAGGGCCGATAGAGAAATTGGCTGATCAAAATCCCCCTTTTTTTTCTTATTATTTAATCATTGATCACGAAATCCTTGGTTCCACCTCAGCAGGAGCATCGAAGAAAGAGCCGGTCAGAGCCCTCCAAAGAGCCGCGTCCCAGGAACGTGTGTATAACCGCGAGAGAGAAAGAGAGAGAGAGAAAGAGAGCGAGCGAGCGCCTAATCGATGTGTCATTATATCGACGGCTCCTCCGAAACACTTGTAAATAATTAAGAGTCGCGTCGAGCGAGGAGAACCGCAAGAGTGTGAGTATATGCGTGTGCGTGTGTGAGAGCGCGAGCGAGACGGACACATATACAGCGAATGTGTACGAATAACTGTATAAAGACTGATTAGATTAGCCTCACTATTTATTCGAATTTAACGCTACCGCTTTGCGCGCGCCCTAAGGGAGGGGATCATTCACAGAGAGCACGATGCCAAAGGTTTCCTTTCGACGACCTCCGTTTTCCCGTCAGAGCATCGGTGCCGATCGACGGCAGCCTCATCGAGAGGGATTTCCTTTCCATCGTTACGGTTCGTTTCCCAGCTCGTCCGAAGCGTAAATTCGGCTTTGCGCAATCCCCCGTTCTCCCCCGATTCCTGAGGGATTTGTGCTGGCCTAGATTGTTTTTTTGAAAAAGAAAAAGAGAAGAACGCATTCATTTCTCCCCGCCTGCATGTTCTGCTTCGTACCGCCACTCCGTTTGGTTGCGCGTGTATCTTCGAACGTGGCCTCAGCAAATCGGGAAAAATGAAAGGGCGAAGGCTGAGGGGGGATGATACGTTCGATACGCGACACGTTCCGTGCGAATCCGCGTTATTCTTTGCGCACGCTTTTAGTTCCGACACATCGTGCTCGAGTATGAAGCAGAGGGAAGAATGACACGCGCGATTATTAACAGCGACATTATTATCGTCACAACGTATCAATATTATTCAATGCATCGTATAAACCAGTAAACTAAATGTAAACTTTGTATATTCATTTACTAAGAGAATAAAAGTAAATTATTCGACGAACAGCTTGGCTTCTTCCTGATTCCTTCCATCGCGATGGAATTACAATTGCGAAATTAAAAACAGTGTATGTGGTTTGATTGACTTTTATTTCAAAAAAATTGTCAGAGTAGCAGTTCTTATGCAATAATACGTATAGTTAAAAAAATTAATCAGTCGCTATCACTGTCGGGATAATTCTCATGTTTGAAATCAAAGTCAGTATCATGCTGATCAGAAATTTCTAGAAAATTTTCAGACTCATCATCATCATCATCAGGGAAAAATAAAAGCTCCAGGGCCTCCGATGAAAAATTTTTACTTTTTTTGGGAACCATTTTTCTCAAGCTCGAAATATGTGGATCCGAAGATACCAGGAGCCAATGAAACACATCTTGCATTGTATTTGTGCGTGAATGTTTTCTGGAAAACCCTTGACGATATTCTTTGATATCCTTATTTCTGGCTTCCTGAGCATCTTCAGATAATTGACCGATTGGCAATACGGCTGATTCTATTATTTGAGCACCATGTATTAGAATTTTATGAACTGTCGTAGACATGTAATGCCAAGGAAACTTGTCTACGCACATTTCCGCAGTATCATGACAATATTTCTGAAATTTTTCAACGTTCACGTTATAGCCACATGACATGACCTGCAAGATAACGTGAAATCGCTGAATGAAATCTTCGTCCAATCCCAGGATCTGAGCAGACACTGATGATTGTTCAAAAAAACGACGAGCCGTATTGCCGTCGTTGGAGTTGCCGTATCCTACTTTTGGGCGATCAACAAGAAGCCCTAGCTGCGTCTTAAACCCCTTCTGAATTATTCTTTTCCGAATCTCGCAAATATTTTTGTCTTCCGTTGATTGCAATTGCCATTTTTTACTCTCAAGTTTATATCCAAGGTGTAGCAAGTACTCAAAGCAACAGATCCAAGCGTGTAACGTTGATAATCCGTAACGTAAATTAGAAGCGTCAATTACCTTATTTTTTACGAAATCAAGATTATTAAACTGTTGTGACGTTGCTCCGCACAAATAGCAGCGCATAGATGATGTAGTAGACGTTATAGAATTACAGACCTTGCTATCAATCATGGTAAAAAGCATTTCGTAATATATTATTATTTCTTTTCCGTTCCACACAGTTTCAAAAGGAAGAAGAGACGCAATTTGATCTTCAATATACTTCTTTTCATTTAAAATAGACTCTACATTCTCGTGTAAAAATTGTAGCCTTATAGGTCTACAAAAACGAGGTGACGAAGGCGCAGGATTTTTCCATATCACTACTTCCTTTTGAAATTGATTATCCGTAGATACCAGTTGCAATGGAACTAATGAAGTAATAAAAACATTAGCGTCCAAACTACTTTCATCAGTAAACTTTTGTTTGTACTCGCTGTGCCCTGAAGAACCATCGCATCCCCATTTTAAAATCAACCTGACATTTTTCAACATTTCTGGACATAATTCTTTTATAGTGTCATTTTGAACATATAAAATTCTTTCAGATGTGTGATTTAAGAGTGCTTGTACACTGACTTCCGCATGAGTCTCAGTTATCTGAATATTTGATGGGTAACATTGAACTTTGGCTTCTAAAATTTTTTCGTAAGCGGGATATATAAGAGCGTTGTGTTTTTTCATTGAATTTCTAATAAGCATGTACTGATATTTTGATAACTTTCCTTCAACGACATCGGACAATGCATCATCGGCAGACATTTTAATAATATGGGGAGTTGCAGATAATTTTAACGCTGTTCTGTATTTATCAGCTCGCGTTGGTGACATTGTAGTGATTTCTTTGATGATGCAGTCAGCACTAGCGGCCCCAGAAGAACGAAGGCTCATTTGAGTAGCCGACGATAATTCCGATGTGCTTAGTACGTTACGTAAGTCAGTGGCTATTCTTCTTTTGGTTCGATCACTTGCTTTCTCCAACTCCGTACATGGTCGACTACGCTTCTTCGATTCCGTGGATTTTGATTTTGCTGTACTCATTGTCGCCGTACTCGAATCCGCAGGTTTTTCATCAGTCGTACAAACATTCTGTGGAGTACATAATCGAATTATTGTGAGGATTTTTTTATCTTTCTATTATTACTTATGGTCGCCAATATTATATTTATGTTTACCATTTCGAACGGCTCGACCGTTGACGCTTACAAATATTACTAAAACATTCTGAAATACTAACGTTAATAATCATGGAAGCAGAAAGCCACTCTTCATTGTTTCGAAGAAAGCGGTTTGTTGATCTTTGAGATAGTTTCCATCTCCATTTAATTTTGGACAACAGAAACTTCAAAGTTCTTCTATCCTCGGTATGTATTTGAAAACGTTCTACTTTTGTAGCAAAATGTTGTTCCAAACATTCAAGTAGCGTGTCCAAGTTCGACTTCAAATCGTTCCGTATGATCTCGAACAGTTCTCGACGAGTGCAGATTACTCTATCAATACACAATTCTAAAATACAGACATAATGCGATGTAATATTAAATAGAAACAGATTTCTCTCTCAAAGAATAAGCTTTATTTAATAACAAAATAAGAAAAATTATTTATACACAATATTTTCGCGGAGCGTTATTCGAATGATTAATTGCAAAAATGATGAAAATTCAATAATACGTTAAAATAAGACACCCGGTATATATATATGAAAATTGTCGATTAAAAGCAGCTGTATACTATTCTACATCTTTTAAGGATAGGTAGTTTCGGATCCCTGCTGTGTACCTCTGCGTTGAGCCTAACGGGCGCAGAGGCAGTGACGGGCAGAATTTCCTTCAAGATTTCGTTACAAAACATCATAACCTATACGCTCAATAAAACAAATTCGTGGATCCCCGTGGATAGATAACTTTTTCGATGATTTACGGTAAAAATTTTTAAAAGAGAAACAATTATGTAGACGGGTCTTTGACATGATTGCTAATACAAGCGAGTATAAATTAATGAAAACGTTATACACGTAAATATTCTACATACCTTCTTTAACACCCTCCATCAAGCAGAATTGAGACTCGAGAAAGGACATTCGAGTCAAAAAAACGTTACACGCACTTGAAATGTGCGTAAGTGATATTTCGGAGACGCTACGCGTAACTTTCACGTGTTCCGACAACGGTCACTTTGAACTAACGTAGCTAACCTCAGGGTCCTCAGGTATAAAAGATATCTCACTTCCCCTTTGGAATAACATGCAGCAGGGCCCTCTCTACAAGATTCTATGCTACTAAACTCATTATGACGAATTTCATTTTTTCGATTTTTGGCCACCTTTTTCGAGATCCAGACCACAGTGGCATCGGTCTCGCGGAAATGGAAAGGGCATGAAAGGAATAAAACCGAGTAATATTATCACAGCCACAGTGGACGAGTTGGCTAAGACGCCCGTCACGGATCGAGGGAGCTCCCAGGTTCGAATCCCGGCTGAGGTAATATTTTTCGCAATAAGAATAATTTACAATATGGGAAACGGAGGTGACTGAATGCTAAATGTAGCGTCTAAAAATGCTAAACGTAGCATTTAAAATATAATTACAAATCGTTTATCGATAACATGTAAATTTGCTGACGATAATAACTCCATCCGTGAGAAAACTGCGTTATGTCCGAAAAGAGACCGGCGCGCAGGACAAAGGTGGAAAGAAACGGTATGTAAATTCACATTTTAATAAATTCCAATGTGTTATAGGCTACCTATATCTTGCCTTAGACACGCATTAGCCGTCTTCTACATGTTGTTTAGAATAAAACTATGTTTTCTACATGGCATGTTTATTGATAAATAATCTAATCCCATAAAGTATAATAATTGTGTTATAAAATGCTGTAATTATTATTCTTACTTAATATTCACAAATTTTCCATTAGCGCCCGTGCTTTCTTCAATTCTGAAAAAGAAAACCAAGAATGTGTCTCTTGTGTTAAAATGCATAACATTTGTGTGCATATAATATGAAATCAAAAATTTGCAGTACAGTGGATTCGATCTCAAAAAAGTTACTAGCTACCTTCGTAAAGTTTTGGAACTAAACGTTGTTTCCGTACCTTTCAATAACACTTGCGCGTCATCCTTAGAGATATTTATAGTGGAGTCTTCCTCCTTTCCGTCTATTTTCTTCAATTTTAACGTCACAGCGGAAACAGGCGACGAGCTATCGCAAGGCAGTACTTCGATGGAGGACAAGCGACTGACTGCGAATGCAAAAGTTGGAATGTAAATTTTTGCGTAGACCATAACTACGTCGCGACCGAAAAATACGGTCAGATATAACTGATGTAATCTGAATAAGTTTTTTACGCTCTGTACGAGCTGAAACTTTTCCGAAAATTAAACTTGACAGCCCACACACAGTAACGGTCAATAATATATCACCTTTCCATCTTTTGAGCATAATTAATTTTGAAGTGCTCGAATGAAAAATTCGAAAATCGTGATGCACTTTGTCAAATTTCATTATCTTTCGTGTACAAGATGTACCTGTTATCAGGTGTCTACTGTAAAATTTTTAGCACATTCGGTGCATTTGACAGAAGTTATGCTCAGAATACCTAAAGGTAAAAAATATTTTTTCACGCACCTTATATTTTCGAAGATATTCATAAAAAATGAAAAAAAATCCGTTATTTTCGCGGGGCTGTTTTACCCCCTAAACGTCGAAAAAAATCGCTAAAAAAATACAGGTCTAATATTTTTTTATGCTCTACAACATATCCGAAGCGCATCGAAATTGGTGAAGGACACTTCCGACCGTTCCCTTGTTAGTTCTGTAAAAAAATGCAGAGCTCGCACCTCTTAAAGATTGAGACGAGAGTACAGCCGTGATCTGGAGACTGTGATCCGTGTGCAGTCTTGCTATAGCCGTGCTATGTTCTCGGGGAAGTCCCAATTGTTGCAGTTCGCTGCTTAAGTCAGCAGCGGAAACGCCGTACCGGGCGGAAGATGTGAATATCAATTCGAGAGCAGCTACTATTGCTTTCGCATCGCCTACATCTAAATAAAACACAAATCTCTACATTTTACTTTCCTTTGGCAGATAATGTTTAACGCGTGATTTTACTTCACGATTGTGATAATAGTAATATACAAATAAGTTGCACGCACCAAGTTTGGCGTCTTGAGTAATCTTCTTTATTTTTTCCTCCTGAAAAAATTCAGTACAATGCAATAAAGGCTAATTAAATATATTTGAAGTTACAAGTAATTTAAATTCAAGATATTTGATATAATTATTGGAAAGAATGTTCGTTTTAACAAAATAATGAATCTTCTTTAAAGTAATTTTTTCCTATTGACATTTGTATCACTATTGACAATAGAAACAAATAATTATAAATCTTTTAGCAATAGACCGCAAGCTTATTACTTACATCAAGTTCTCCATCGGTCAAATATTTAGCCACTGCTTGACCTAGCATTTTCATTTTAATTGAAGTCTAGAAATAAAGTATTGAACACGTTTTTCTAATAGCGAATTCCAGTAGCGATTGCTTGCACTAGTACGCACTGAGTGGCTTGTTTATAGTCAACTCGTAAATTTAACTTTGTCTTAAATACAGGTTCAAAAAATATTTAGCTAAAAATTTATCCGTACGGTTGCTATTTAGTGGCTAAGAAATATTTCGAGAGATATTTAATCTATAAATATAAAAATTGACTGAAAACAAGCCTTATTCACTCAGTGAGCATTGGTGCAAGCCGAGTATATTCGATATGAAAAATGTTTCAGTGTCTTTTCTCATTATATGTATATGAATATAACAGTCGAGAATTCTAATATAATATTATTATAGATATTGTATGGGAATATTTATGTATATATTCCACAGAGAGAAACAAAGAATTGAACAATACCATTCGCGAAAGCGTGTTGATTTCCGCTAGCAACCAGTCTGGACAGTCGCCATCGCCAAGAAATCTGAATCTCTGATATGAAATGTAGGTAAGTTTGAAAATGTTAAAATTGTTAAAGTAACATGTGTTTAATAGTTTATTAATACACAAATTTGAAACTCTCAATGGCTATATAGAAAGTTTGGAATAATAAGTTTAAAAACATGCAAATTTATGCATTTATATAACTTACAATCTTATAATATATTTTTTACAACACTTTCTTCATTCCATCAGATATCGTAATAGTAAAAAAAAAGTTTTACGACCCTTGTATTCTTGCGAGCTCTTACCATTTTTGTTAATTTCTTCCTTCGCGCTCAAGCTCTGCTTCATTCACCTAAAAATCACGCACAGGTTTTAGAAAGGTTGCTCAGATAACAATTCTTGCGCGCAAATTTTGCTTGTCTCGTGCATGCAAATTTGTATGAGATTTGCCTGAGTTTTGCCCGTAGGATGTGTTTAGTTCGTGCTTTTGCACGCTCATGTATTAATGTATAATTCTGCGCGCAAATATCTAACAATTCACGCACAAAAATGGCTTAACAACGCAAGCAAAATCCTATCCAAGTACGTGGTCGCAATACTAGATGTTTGCGCGCAAAATGTTTTCTGGGTACACATAATAAAAATGTATGCTAATAAGAATCTTATAATTTTATACAAATGACAAGGGATCATTTCCACTAGGGCAAATTCGAAAATAAAAAACCACAAAAAGTCACGACGACTTCTCCTACGCTCATAAAGTATTTATCAAATTATGAAATTCTGTGAATTTCATATTGATTTATCCTATGCATTTCGACGAAACGTTTAATCAACTTAGATTTCACCATCGAGCTTTCGAGATCCTCGTGCAGCCATGAAGATCTACGTCAGTCAATCACACTACGTCTTTTGCGGGCCACGGGTTCGCCGCGTGCCCTCGGGGCGAAAAACAGGGTGACTTTTTTTTCTACCGCGCCGCCCTATCCCTCTCGCACCGATAATGTTTCTAACAATAAGTTTCATAACGTTACGACGGCGAGGCGAGCGGAGACGTGGACGTCAAGATGTTTGCACTCGTTGGCGGAGTAGATTGGCGTGGGCATCCGCGCCAGGTGAACGAATTCCCCATGCAATCCGCCTAATCTTTCGACCGCGACGGGATGGCCCACGGGAGTTTCGACCAACGGACATAAATATACGGACGAGAGTCAGCCCGTCGCCATTCTAGTCAAGGAACTCGCGAACACCGGAGACACTCGCCAACAGGTGAACGCCGCAACAGGTAAGGGATGAATTATCAAATTGGCACGGAAGGCTACAAATTTCTCCATCCTTTGCCACGCCGTGATTTTAAATAAAATCATATTTTATATATTGACTAAAGGTGTTTTTTTTAAATTTTTTCGACTAATAATCCCTCTTTAAACCAACAAGATAGCAATTATGATAATTCAACGGTTTTTATTTTGTCAACAGGTATTTATATCGATCGAGAATTAATTTCGATAATAATAGCTTAAAATATATGTTAATTACAATAACAAAATTATTGGTAATGCATTTTAAATTTGACGAGCTCTGGTTAATGTACTTTCGACGCGCGTACAAGACGTTAATTTTAATTACGTGTTTCTTTATTCATTAAGTTTAATATCTCCGAGTAAAAGAATTGATTGTATATTCCTAAATTTTTGTAACAGTCTTCGTCATTGATCGCAACAAAATACCGCGTACACTTTTTTTTCTACGCAATAATTAACAAAATAGGATGGAGCAGAATTGTATGTCCACATGACATTAATATTCATAATAGTCTTATTAATTGGATGTGACCCTGAACGAGAAATATTTTCTTGTATACTCGAATATATTATGATAAATATAAATAGGAAAACTCTGAAAATAGTAAGAGCGCTTTAACAAAACTATCGAAAGGTAATTCTTTTATATTGCGCTGCGTCACGGTATTGAAAATGTAATCTATGTATAATATGCATAAATCTTTCATCTTCCAGCAATGAAGAAAATATTGTTGGCCACAACCTTGCTATCGATAGCAGTATCCGAAAATATTCTAGTAAGTAAAGTACCATTTTACCACAGTTTTTCAAAAATAGATAGAAACGTCGCATCGAAGTGCACGTTGACTTCGGTGAAAAATGAAGAAAATTGACATCGAAAATTAAGAAAATGGTTCATTGATCAGTATGATTTATTAATATTTTTATTAAGATTAGCAGTATTGTGAAATTGATTTTGTGCTTTGAGATGGAAAACCACCCAAGACCGAAGACGGCATGGATCTGCGACAAGCAGCTGTGGAATAAGAAAGCAAAGCGAATACCATGGAAAGATATTCCTTCTAAAATAGAGGAATCCTTAAACTATGAGAACGACAGACAGTTCCCTCGGATTTCGGACACGCGATTCATTGGCGAATCAAGAAAACTACCCTCAACGATCATCAGGTAACACAACAAACGACAATACTTGGTAATCATCTTACATGCGCTCAAAATTTAAACATGAAATTTATCCGACGTGTCTTTTCAATATAATATTACAAGAACCAAATGTCAGAGACTTTCGCACGGCACATATCGATGTAAAAGTAGAAAATCTATGCGTACCAGCATTCAATAAATATAAAAAAAACAATAAATCTTATTCATTTTTTAATCTTTGCTTCTCACTTAAGATAGTTATTTCGTAAAATAATTTATGTGAGAATTAATTGTTTCAAATTTTTACAATTTATTTTTTACATTAATACGTGCAAAGTAAGATTAATTAAATTAAAATTGACCGTCTCAAGGTTCTATAAAAAAAAGTTAAAATTTGCTGTTACACGAAATATTACGTGCAAAACCCGTTAAAAATATTATTACACGTAACAATTCGTTGTAAATAAAATATTAAACTAATAAAAAATAAGATTATAATCTTATTACAGGCGGCACGAAATGGAGCGGTTTCCACAGGATGACTTATCTTTCGACAAGTCAAAATTTGACAGCACTAAACCGAGAGTTTTGATCTCTATCGGCATCCAAGAGGAGAAAAACGGGAACGATTTGCAAGAAAACTGCTCGAAAAGAAAGAGCTATTGTAAGCAACATCAAGGCTGGCAGCTTCAACAACCGTTCTACGTGGAGGAGCCAACGTGGGTCGACATCGATATCGACTATTTAGACTCTTCTCAGCGCATGGACAACGGTGACCCTTACATATTATCACGAGGAAAGAAAATTTATCGAATTAAGGATCCGGAACAGATGGGCATTGAAGATTACGAAGCGGCTCTCGGTTACCCGAACAAAAGCAAAAAATTGTTAATAAAAAGTCGCGTGAGAAGGTCTGCCGAGACGAACGATGGATCTCAGGATAAAGCAGCCGATGTAAAGAACAATCAGATAATGGAGAGAAATCGCTATAATTCCCGTCAAGATCTGAACGGAGATACAAACGATGCTGCGATTGTCGAAATAGAGAGCAGAGGTGAGGCATTTTCCAAAATCGATAACACATCGAAAGAAGCCGAAAAGTCGAAGGACACGAGCTACGGTGTCGTTACTAAAAATTATGAAAAGGACGATCCGAGGAATTTGGCGAAAAGATCGTTGCAAGGATTCAAATTTGCAAAGCAGAATCGCATACTCGCGAAAGGCGTAATTACAGATTTTGCCGAGCAGAAGCAGGAGATACAGCGCGAGGATGTTCCCAACGATGTTGAAACTGACAGTAGCAAAACTGCGAAAATCGACCAAGAGAGATTCAATGATAGCAAGAGTCGCTTTGCTATTAATATAAATAAAAGGAAAAAGTCGGTGTTACTGAAGCTCCCCGAAACCCGTAAGAAACGAGGGCTCTATGAAAGTGACGCGAATTCTAAGAAAGACGAGAAGAACGAGACGTACGATCCGATGAAGACTGAAGCTTACGTCAACGAGCTGAACGATCCAGGCACCCGCGATGACTTTTACACCTTACCCCGAAATAAAGATCCGTTTCACAACGAGGTAGAACGCTCGAATAAAATAGATACAGACCGTAACGAATCCATCGAGAAAGCATGGGAACTTTATTATGCGCACCGCAAGAAATTGGAAAGCGAGGGGAAAACGAAGAATGAGGAGAGCAGATTTGAAATTAACAAAGACAATACAGAAGTGACAGATTCGCAATTAACAAGCCAATCCGACTCGAAGAATCCCGAGATGCAGACTTGGAATTACCGAGAGAAGCGTAATGTTTGCAAGACCTGTAAAATTAAATTGCAGCTGCGACAGGCTGAATGGCTGGAGGATATCGGGAAGAAGCTTCAGGATTCGCTGTCTTTAGAGCGAAGAGACAAGCACAGCGATATTTTGGAGCGTCTAACCGAGCCGTACATTATCTCCCGAGGTAAGAAGGTGCCGCTAGACTTCGGGAAGAACCTCTTCTCCCCGAACAACGAGGATCGCGCTAAAACGACGAGCCTCCCGATCGCGGAGAGTCTTCTAAGGGTGTTACTGAGAGAAACGTCCAGATGTAACAACAACAATTGCGACGTCAACGCGAACCGGCTAGCAAACGAGCGACTGTCACCGAGGGACCGACGCGGCACGCTCGACGAAATCCTCGCGGCATACGATCCGTACTACGTGGCCAGAGGAAAACGAATGTACCGAGATGAAAAGGACGTCTCACTCGAAACAAATGCGCGACAATAGGCCGTGAAAGACGTGTTCCGCAAGATATAATCGCTAGCTCTACGAGGTGTCTCTCAAAGATCGCCCGTTAATTACATTCACGGCGCTATTCCTTATGAAAAATCGAGAAGTTCTGGACCATCTTTTTCTCGTGATGCTTAATAAAGCAGTGATTATTGAGTCAATCTAATCGGTCAGTAAGCCGGCACAAAGACGGCGATTGGATTGACTTTACTGGACAATATTACTGCTTTTCAATTAAACATTCGCTTTCTAAACAGGAAACGTTACCGGCGTGAATGTCGTTAATATCGAACTGTTGAGGCCTCTTTGCCGCGGAGCCGATTGATTTTCTCGAAGCGCGGTGTGCTTTACTTCTCTTTTAGATTCATGTTATGCTTCACTCCCTTTGCTTAATGTGTCACGTTGCTCATCAGTTAACTTTTAACTATTTGTTACGCGTAAAAATTATCGTAAGAAAGTAAGGAAAACTAAATCACTTAGCGCGCGCAAGTGTTGTTCTAGTTGTAGAAAAAAAAAGATTCACGATTTTGCAACTACATTTGCGATAAGGAACAGTCTTGTGCAATTAGTGCGCGAACTTTAAGAAGGTATCCTGCTTACAATTAGTACCCCGGTGAGAAGGGCAAGAACGGGGATGTCAGCGTGACACGACTTGCTTTGGATCGCGATGCAATACGGCAATCGGTGAATCGCTGTTTCTCAATTGACACACGCATATTAAAGTATACAATGAATTGTGTAAGATAGAGATCTCGTGAAAAAAAATAAAAGTAATCTTACTAAAAATATTGACGACCACGTAACGCTCGGAGTTTGCACGTACGACACTCCTCTTCCAGTACGAGTACGAAATTTAACTTGAGAAAAATCTATATACGCATGCGATTAAATCCACGTTTGTATAATTTATTTGCATTGTAATTCAGCAACACTTTATATGCGCGTACGCGTCATCGAATTCGAAGTGGGTGTACACAAAAAGGCGCGTGGAGAGAATGACTTTCGATTGTAAATTACGAAAACGCAATTTGTAACATATGTTAAGAGAACAAAAATGAATATAAACATTAGAAGTTAACTAGAGTACATAGTAATACGTTCCCTGTGTGCATGAGGACCAGTTAACTCTTTCGCGAGCGCGTTACTTTTCTCGTCCATTAACTTTTGTCTAAATAACGTTTTTTTCAGTGAACGCATGCTAAATCATCGAGTCTTTTCAAATTTTGTAAGACTCACTGTGTCCCAGTGCTCACGAAAGAGTTAAAAGGTGCATTGTCGGAAAGATTTTGCTGAAAGTTTTACGAAATCGGCGAGAAGTGAAATAAAGTTATTGAGAAATGATCGAGTGCGTCTCAAAACGAGTAATTCTTTTTAGGAAATTCAGTGTAACACTGTGGAATATAAGGAGAGTTAAAGTATTCTGTTAAAAAGTAATAGAACATTATAAAATATTAGATATTATACAGGGTGTTAAATTTTAAACGTAACAGGTGGAATATTTCATAAACAATGCATTTTAGAAAGAAATGTTTCCTACAAAAGTTGTAGGGTTTCAGAGGGAACATAACATAGTAATATTCGTATAACCTTGGGCGGCGTCTCCAAAGTCAAGTGGAGGTGAGAACGAATTTTTTAAATAGAAACCTATATTTTTTATTATAACATCCTTTTTCACTAATTAATTTGAACAACTTTTATCTGAAGCATTTTTGTTTATTTACTTAATATTTTTTAAGATATTCAATAAATACTTGGTAACTCTTTCAACATTCAGTTTGCGATATTGAAGATTAAATGACGGAATGGGAGGACTCAGAAAAGAAAAGATAAAATAATGAAGTAAATAAGAAATACTTTATCAGAAACCCTACAACTTTTGTAGGAAACATTTTTTTCTAAAATGCATTGTTTACGAAATATTTCACCTGTTACGTTTGAAATTTAACACCCTGTATATCGGATTTACTGATTTTAACTGAAAGCTGTATTACTTCTTGACGACAAATTTTCAGAGAATTTTTTTTCACTGAAATATTAATGAAACGATAACGAAGCGGGGTCAATTGAGACGGATCTTCAAAATACATTTCAGCAGAACATTTCCACGAGGGTGGACAGATTTTCGTGGGCTTTTCTTCCCTGCTTCCTCCGCACGCCACAGTTTTTAACATCTGGTTTGACTTTTTGGCTTATTCTTATAATCAATGCGCTTTAGGTGCCCAGTCAGCAAAATGTTAGCAGCTTCATCAGAAACCCACACCAAAACCATAGCCACCTGTGTCGGCATTTGGCTTTTGTTTTGGCAACAGAGTCTGTAAAACATACGCTGTCAACAGATTGTCGGCTGAAGCCGAACAGGTCCAGTTACGTGAGAATTTGTTGTATTTCTGTCGACACGCTGGTAACATGTCGAACATATCATCAGTTCCTGTATGCAAGCTGCAGTCTTTCTGCCTTCAAATTTTGTAGTAGGCACTTGACAAAATCTGTTCTGACAGATTTCGCTATCTGCATTTGTGAAAGAACAAATTGAAAAATTGCCGGATTTCTCGCCAATGTGTAAGATTGTGCGAAGAATATTTTATTCCTCTATGCTTATTATATGCTGTGCTAACTTCTCATATTAACAACTGATTATTTACCACTCTTTTTCCAATAAATCTGTACATTATAACCTATAAAGGCACAACTGTTGGAAAAGGATGTGTTCGTTTTATGTACTTGAAATTAACGTGTATGTTGTGATTTATTGAAACGTATTATTGTAACTGCGTTTGCTCGTAAGAGTAGTGTAAAGCAAGAATTATTACCTGGCGAACAACAACGCATCGGTAAAAATTGACACTGCCTGACGTTCGCAGAAGCCGATTAGGTTAGAATTCTGACATTTCTATTTGGTAAAATTAACTGAGACGGTAAGACAACATCTCCTTCAATCTGTCATCGGTAAGAACGGAAAATAGATTTGTATTATCATTCATATTAACTTGCATTATTTATATTTCATTTGCAATGAATGTGGTATGAAAATGAGATCAGCAAATTCAATAGCGCGAAATTTGTCTGAAATTTAAAATTCTGACAATGAGAAATAGACATTGCCAGTTGAAGATAAGAAAACTCGGCGATTCCCATACAGCACAGATGGGTTGCAGTTATACTATTATACAATGTAGAAACGTTGCAAAAAATTTATTTCATAATGTATTTTTATTACGACTTACAAAGTATGTGATTTTAAATGTAAGTATGTAATTATAAGTAAATATCAGTATGTGATATAGAAACGACTGAAAAATATACAGTATGATTTTTATATGTATATATTGTATAGTTTCATGCATTTTCAAAAGTTGTATACAATATTGTATTTTCCGTTTTTATCAATATATTTAATATGTGATATCGAAACGACTGAAAAATCATATATTTTTCATTACATCACATTCTGTATAAGATAATGATGCGTTGGATCTAAAATCGATATTACATACATATATCAATATTCTAATTTTTTAAAATAAATATAAAATTAAATAAAATTCACTGACATAAATGGCTGTCAAATAATAAATAAGACTAGAATATAAACGTGATTATTAATTATTATATCTTGAGAATGGCTATCAAACTAAATGACTCTACACAAATATTGTAAAAAGTTATGTTATTATTATAGCAAAATTATAGAATTGTAGTTTTGCAATAATTTCCGGAATATACCTAAATGCCATATTGCTGATATATTGCAGGCATATTGTTAATTTATGTTTCTACAATGTCTCCGTAATGTTGCATTGCAATTTGCAACATTGCAACATTATTGCAATGTTGCTGCAATATTTTGTGCTGTATGGGTATATTAAAATAAATCACAAATTTGATAGTAATTTTCTAATATGTAAAGTACTTCAGATTTTAATAGATGAAGTTTGAGAATATATGACAGACATCCAAGAGCGATAAAAAAAATGTTACAATTTTTTCGTGTACCTCCTGGATGTTTAGGCTGTCATATGTTCTCAAACTTTATCTATTAATATACTTCATATAAAATAAGAAAAAACGTTGCATTTTTTTATACATATATCTCTTGCGTGTTTTTACATTCTTAAATTTACTTATTAGGTTGTTCGAAAAGTTCGTTTCAAATTTCCTATATTTTATACATATACATATAGGCAATTTAAAACAAACTTTCCGAACAACCTAGTAAAATCTTAAGTATCCTGTATATTTATATAAATAACGCATAATGAAATCAATATTACAAATATGTATATCGCACCATATTATTATTGCAATATATCTGAGAAAGGACATTTCAATGTTGCTTCAAGCTTGTAACAACGTTGCTGAAACATTTCGCAACCTCCATGCAATGTAACAATGTTGCAGTGAAGGGAGTATGCAATGTTTCTGCAATCCCTCGGTGCTGTACGGGTATAGGTACTGTATTTTACGCAATTACCATGGCGACTTTTACACACAAAATATCATATACTCTTTATTAACAATTACGTACAACATGTTACTTAAAAAAATCTTATGGAATGAAACTTACGAATGCCTTTTATACCAAATATCTGTTTTACGAAATGAACAATTTTATGAAAAATTATTAATATTAAATGTAGGTAGGTTCCTACAATACAATTCGTTAACTCAGCATAAGGCGTCGAAAATAATGCAGCTGATTTTCGATTTCGAACAAACGTCTATCTCTTTTTTGTTTAACAATTAATAGTGGCACGACATCCATATGAGCCTGAACATTGTTAACAATTTCATATACCTAAAACATATTAATCTGATGTTTACTGGCAGAAAACAACAATAAATTATTTTTACTATAAAATCTAACAAAACACTTTTGTTATGTAGAGTAATTAAAATTAAATCCTATGTACATGTATCACCTTCAAATAGAAATATTTTCAAAAACAAGAAAATCAATATAAACTTTCAAGTTCTCAAAAATTACCTGTCTATTTAGTCTATGTTTGTCATCGAAGTGAACTATAAAGATACTTTTTTCCACTTTAAACTTCCTATCATTTTTCACAAATTCTAATATCTAAAAATGAATTATTTCACCATTAAACATAAATAACCGTCGTTATTATTTCGATGCATAGGTTGCAACACTAATTTAGGTTTTCTGCGCAATTATTAGTTGAGATGATAAATAATAAATTTATTATCAAATAAGTTTTATAATAACGTGCAAATAAATTAAAATTATATTTATATTTATGTTAAAAATTTACCTTATCGAGTTGCTCCTCAGACCGTACGTGGTTCATAATATTAATCAATGTTGAATACCAAGTGAATTCGCTATTAAATCAATACAAATTTTAACTTAACACATGTAGTACAAGTTTAAAATATGTATGTATATTTAATGCAATATGTCCTGTGAAGACACTATACTAATGTTACCTCGAAACAAGTTTACTAAAATTTTGTAACATGTATTCTAATATTACGTCATCCTTTGCATGCTTAGCAACAGTGGGAAGGAAACTGTTCACATAGTCATTGGGTTGCACGTTGAATATTCTCCCTTTAACTATTGTGTCAAATCGTAAGTAATTAATAATGATAGAAGAATTTCCGTTGCAGGACAAATATTCTAAAAGTTTATTATCTCTACTTTTTATCCATAAATTTAATACGTCCCACCAAATATCACTAGGCAATATACCATTACAATATGCCCATTCCTTCCAACCTGGCAAAATTCTGCAGAATATTGAGAAAAAACATTAAGTTATAGAGAAATTGCGTTTTTCTATGATCTTGTAGTTTCATCGATTTTAATATATCAATTATTGTGTCTGCGTGTGCATGAGCGTGTGCACGCGTACGTCAGTAAAGTCATATAACGACGTATGTGAGAAAATTACTCAATTGTTGTACCTAAAATTTTTACTTAAATGCTGCTGCAATTTCTGAGTAGCAATTCTTTGACATGTCAAGTCCCCAAGGATACATGCCCATTTGGCAGCTTCTTGGCTTAAGGATGTATTAAGATCATTAGGTTTTTCTTTACCGTAATCAAAATGTGATATAAGCTTCGTAAAAAGTTCATGTATAATATCTTGCATATGTGCCTAAAAATCAAGGAAGAATTAGTTTGCATAAACTGATTCGAAAGAACAAAGACCGAACAGGAAGTTAAATACATGTATTTATGTTACTTCAAGAAATTTTATATAAATTATTCGCACAAAATTGCTATTATTTGTATGACAAAGAAATATGATGAACTATGTAAAAATATCTTTTTACAATAATTGTTATTATGTATCTACCTTTAGGGATATACTTTCTTCGAATAAAAAGAAACCAGACATATGCTCAAGAGCTTTGAGCATGGGATACCACGCTACATAGTCTGTCACTCGTTCCAGATATTTTGTTAGGTTGAGAAAAGTATACAAAGGAAGTTGATCATTCATCAGAAAATAAAATGCGTCATCAATGATTTGAGCACGATTGATTACATGTACGTACGTATAATGATTAAGCGTAGTTAAATACTGGATAATTCGCTTCCAAAGTACAGCATCGTAATTGACACGATAATACCCTAGCATATTTATGTTAAGTAAATTTTGGTTACTAATTACTCGTAAATTGTGGTTACTAATTTTATGTAATACAATGTATGCGAAATGAATGCAGATGTTACTTATAAGGTGGCTCTTGCATAAACCGATCTTTTGTAGAAGAAATTACTTTTGTAGAGAAAATTTTAATTTAAGTACAGTGTAGTTGCAAGTTTCAGCTATCAGTACGCAAAAGTTTAGACTCGATTGCTAATAACATAAGTGACAAAAAATGTTAAAGTTGTACTTCTTAACTTAGGGGCTATGGGCAGATTATACGCAGAAGCACTTTGATGGTTAATTATATTTCGTAGAAAAAGTTGATATTAGCACAAAACGAAATAAACATCATAAATGTCGTAGGAATTCACGTGCGCTATTGAATATACGAGGTCCGAAGTGAGGTAAAGAGTGTCACGCGTAATCAAACTTGCATATACAGGGTGAGTCTTTCCATATCCGACAAAATTTTTGAG